TCGTCTGACAATGACCCTGTGACAGCACTAACAGATAAATCTTCTTTCTGAGGGTCTAGTTTGTTTTTGTAGGTAATACAAGTAAATCATGAATAATTCAAGTCTGTTTTATAACGAGATAAAAACTCCTGATAGGAGCTTTAAAGTGTGAAAATAAACGTAATTCTCATTCAAACAAAAAGCAAGTAGGCTACATGTCTACTGTGATTGTTACATTGTTATTTAACTGTTACCAGTGCAATGATGTGAAAGAAACATTTCTGTTGCTTAAGATTATGTTATTCGATTTCATTACACACTGTTTTTTTTCTTGAAATATGTGTGTTGCTTTTTTGGATGGATAAAGAGATAATCGGAAACAGCAAAGACTCCCCCATCCAGGACAAAACGGAAAAGACGAAAAAGCACATCCTGGTCCCTTGATAATGTCAGTCACATGCACGTTTAGACAACGCAGCAGTTTTTCATTAAAGGAAAACAAATGAAAAAATGAAAAATGAAAAATATACACAGTAAATTAATCCACCAGACATACATGTGTAACAGCAACAGTGTTTTCGACTGTAAAAGGCAGCGAAGCTGAAATGAGAGCGACCTGATTTGTTTATTTTATTTAGTCGCCAAATTTTTTGATGAAAGTTTTTTGTTAATAAATTCTGAGGTCGACTTTAGATCGAAGGTTGTTTTTCTTTTTTTTGATCGCGTGTGTTAAACACGCTCAGCAGCGGCTTATCTGGAAGTTTATTTTGAAGCCATAACACCATAAACATATTTCAGTAAGACTCTCGCATATTATCAAACACACTTTGTGTGTCTTTACAAAACCTCAGTCACTCCAGATGTGAAGTGTTCACCATTTCTTCACTCTGATGTCATAGTGGATACAGTCTCCACCTTTCATACTTTCAGGATTACCTTTTATATTCTTTCTAACAATCCTGGTTCCAAACTAAACAGCTTTATGCTATTGGCAAGGATAAAAAGCTTTAACAATGCATCCTGTGTCTTATTTTAAAATCTCATCAGTAGATGATTTGTATCTTCATAATGACGAGCTGTTTGATCAGTGCTGAGGAGTACATTTCATCATTTTCCTCCTGAAATGAAGTGAAGTCAAAACACAGAAAAAAGTTTTTCCTTACTTAAATGATTTGATGAGTTATATCTCAGTAGTGTTAAGAGGCTAACAGTTATACTATAAACTGAGTGAAACATGTATTTTAAAAAGTGCTTCAGCTTTAAAAGTCACTTAAAGTATGAGGAGAGATGAAGAAGATTTACAGTATGTGTTGTCATTATGTACATAAAGATTCACTTTAATATAGGCTGTGATTTAAGGGATGACATTAGAGAGCCTGTTCATGAAGTATTCCCCCTGTGCAGGGGTCTGTTCCTCCCAGCAGCTTGGGTTTGATTCCACCCCTCTGCCCTTTGCTGCACATCATCTCAACTCTCTCCTCCCTGATCTGTCACTCAGCTGACCTCAGCTGTCCTGTGTAATAAAAAGGTAAAAGAGAAGGTGAATAAAAATAAATTCTTCATCTAAAGAGAACGTTCTTGTTACTTTATTTATATACTTTTATTTTAGTGTTAAAGAAATCCTGCTAAAAAGTGATGATTTTAAAGACCCAGAATCAGGTGTGATACAGAAATTTCCTGCAGACAATCTGCGTTGGCTGTAGCTGACAGGCTGCCTAAAGATCCACTTCTGTTCTGTTCTGAGTGGTTTTGTAATATTCAGAAGGCCACATGTGATACTGGATGGAGGAAGGATTTTAGCAGCCTTTTAGTTTTCCATTTGATTTCGTACCCACTCATTGATTTTTTTTTTTTTCTTGTCTGTCAGATGCACTCTGCTGATTGCAGCAGTCTGAGTTTCTCTTTGGTCCTGGTCCAGATACTATAACTGATCCACAAGAGGGGGGAGACCCTCGAGTTAAGTGCTGCTGTGTCAATGCACTTCATCAGCCTAATCGTTGAGCTGTTTTACAAAGATCATAAAAAATGTCATTCTGTTTTATTGCATCAAATCCTCACATTGTAAGGGTTATTTGCTGAAATGCAGATTGATTCATATTAGATGAGAAGTGCCATGCAAAGGTGAGTCGAGCACACATGGAACTTTTGGGAGATAGGATTTGAGCACTTAGTGTACATTCATTAAGACGCTTAGATGTGCTGAAGATCAGAGGTCTAATCTGAGAGCAGGTTGTCGGTCACTAAGGTCCAATGCTTGTATCCTTCCAAAATTTGACCCTGCTACTTCAATGACCTCGAGGCTTTAATTAAAAAGCTTCTGAAACCACAGAAAACAAATTGTGTTAGACCTCATCTTTTTAAAATGTTTTAAGTAGAGCAAAGACATAATGGGGTGATGAGTCAGTTAATGATCAGCACAGCTATCGTGTGTGTGTGTGTGTGTGTGTGTGTGTGTGTGTGTGTGTGTGTGTGTGTGTGTATGTGTTGTTTTAGGACTATATGTGTTGATAGCTAACAACACAAAGAACAAATGTTCCACAGGTGGGATTAAACAAATAAAATAAAGCTTCCTCTTACAAAAGATTTACTTCTTCTATCATTTAGTGTGTTTTTAGGGAGTCATTTTCTGTAGTGATTTAATTATACATGTTCATATTACATATCCAATTATTATTTAAATTTAATCATACAACTTAGTTGGATTTAAAAACATGTGATTTTGTTAAAAATGCATTTTTTTTATTCGCTTTAATGTACCTAAGAATAAAGATGTTAAAATAGTTGAACCTCCTCCAAAACAACATCATTCAATATATGATTAGAACAGTTGTGATCATTCAGCTAGTTAAAGTTGTTTGATACTTTATCCTCTAAAGGTAGAGGTTAAATTAATTATTTTTAAGTATTAAGACTTTTTATTGACAGCTACAGAGTCTGTGTCAGGTGTTGGATTGGAAATTCAACACATTTGGTTCACTAGTGACCTCTAGTGGAGAAACTCAGTCACTTTTGCCTTTTCACGTGTGCTACATAGAGGATTTGTTGAATAAACTTTAGGAGGCCTCTGGTGGTGTACACCAGGCACTACATTTTGTTATCTTGTATTTGGCAAAATAATATTTCATATAGCTCTTGACATGGGCAGGATGGGACACGCCCCCCTCACAGCCTGAAGTTTTGACTGACTGTATTTCGTACCAAAACGGACCAATCTGTCTGTAAAAAACAGTATAGAGTTATATATGTGTATATATATATTAAAGACTATTTATAAAGTACAACTGTATATTAGCAGATTATAACATTATTCAGAGTGGATATGAGCATGAAACAGTGGTTTAAACAGTGGTCGAAAAAGAAGAAGACACCCTCTGTGGCAGACTTGTATAAGGTGTACTAAAGGTACATTATTCAAGGGCACCTCAGCAGTACTCGGGAAGTGACCCTCCAGCTACCATACTTTGGTACGCACTTGTACTTGAACTCGTAACCTTCCTGTTCCCAACCCAAGTCCCTACTGTGAGGTCATGCCACCCCATGTGGTGAAACATTTTAAGATTAATTCCAGGAAGTTACAGAAAAAAGTAGTGAATATCTTCCCATCACCACATCACAACCACAATACTTGGTATGTGAGTGCACGTCCTTTGAAAACGGCCTGCTGCAACAGTGTCTGTGGTTAAAGAGGAAGAAGGGTCTTCATGATTGATTCTTGTTAACTTTATTATCTGTGACTTCTCCAAAATGATTTAAAAATGCAGATTTTACTGTAAAAATATATGTAAAAGTTCTTCACTTCAAAATAAAACAATTGTCATGAAGTAATATATATGGTTAAATGGAAGTAATGTCTACAAAATCCTCAAAATTCAAGTTTTCACGCGATAGCAACAATGTAGGTGTCTGCTGCTCATTACACAAACATGCACACGCCTGTGTGTCTATTTATTCAGCTTTGTGCCCACTCAGTGATGAAGTCATATGGGGAAATACCTTTCTTCTTTCTTTCTCACTTCTTTTGCTTTTGTAAAAGAAGTGATCATGTAAATAAAAGTCTGAGTTATTTATTTGAATGTCATGTTTTGTTTTAGATTTTTAGTTTCTATTATATTCATGTATTCTGTATTTTCTTTGGGTTTTTGTTTTCATTTTTAAAAATGTCATCGTTATCTTTTTAAAAGCCCTCACCCTGCTCGAGGATCACCAGATGGGGGTGCTCTCCGCTACAGCATCACTGCTTACTGTGAGAGAAAGGGCCAACACGGGAGACAACTTGGTTTTCCTGATGTGGCTAAAAAAGAGGATTAAAAGATGTTATATGTGTTCATGCGCTGGTTGTATGGGGGATTTAAACTCTCAACATTTGTTCCATTTGAGAAAGTTGAGAGTGTGATTTAAAAATACGTTCTTTGTAATCACGCCTTCATGAACTGAGAGCACAGAGGCATGCTGGGACATGAGCCTGTAGTCTGAGGTATGTCTCTTTGTGCATGAGTTTAGTCTTTCCTCAGGCTACACATTTCTGCTTCTCTTTTTTTAAAGGCTTTGACACCGCTCCAAGTCAATCTTTTAATGCTTAAAGAACAGAAAGGTCTCTCATCTTTTGCTGTGATCTTTTGAAAAATGGTTATGTGTCCTTTTAGGTTTGGTGCTAATGAAACAGATACATTTATGAATCTGATCCTCTCTCTACAGGAGCCATGAGCGCTCTTTTAATCATGTCCCTATTTACACTGAACAGAAGACATTTTGGCTGACTCCATTTGTTCTTAAACATAAGGATGAAATCCAAAGGTTTTAAGAGACACTAACACATTGTTGTTTTAAGGTTCACATGGGATGAATAACCAACAAGACAAATACAGGCTAATGCTCATCTTATCCTTTAATGACCAAGCACAAGGTACTTATCAAGAAAAACTTTCAAAAGAAGGAAAGTGATGAGGATTATATTTTACATCAAATTAAAGAACATGTTGAATGTACAATAAAGCTGAGACAAAAAGCAAAGAGGCCCACAATTCAGATCCATACTGAAGAGATCAAAGTTGTTACATAAAGATTGTTGGGTCAAACTAAAGCCCAGAAAATGCCATTAAATATTCTGAGCATCTATATTTTCACTTTAAAACGTTTGATTTCAAGTGTTGAACCGGAGTTTCCCGGTCTCAGTACATCTCTGCAACAACAAATCTGAGGGATTGTCGCCTGCTGACTCTATGAATGGAGTGCGCATCCCGACAAATACAAACGTATACCAAATATAACACCTTCAGATTTACACCTTGCAAAAAATAAAACAAATGTAAATGACAGTTTTACATATTCCCATGAAAAAGACAGTGTTTGACCTTGAGCAGGACGGAGATATTATCTTTAGACGTAGTCTCTGCCCGGCTGGTCTGCAGAGCGGGATGGAGGGTAGCGCTGGGATTTCCCTGAGCTCTTACTAGAGCAGTTGCAGCAGAAGAAGCTCCCTCCTATCATGATGAGGAAGGCAGATCCCCATCCAACATACAGAGCACTTCCAAACTCATACCTGGGAATCATTCAGACAGTACATGGGTCAAACTACAAAACCTTCCATCAATTACAACATGCAAGTCTGAAAACAAACTGTTCATAGCCTATTAGCTTTGATTCAATCGCACTGTTCAGATACCACAAAGGCATTTCTATAAAGAAACGCACAAAAAAGACTGAGGCCATGTTAGCTTACTTTAGCTTAGCCAACCTTAATGTTAAACTGAAATCTATGGTGGCAATGAAGATACTTGATTTTATAGCAGTTCATTATCCTTACCTCCCTGTAGTAACTCCTATGTCTACACTGGTAGCTTAGCATCCTCACTGTCCTCAGACCTGTTTCATTCTGTTTGCAATCTTTCCCTATATGCTAAACCAAACAAAGTTAATATACACCACGCTGCAGCAGGCTGAAGCTTGTGTCTTTTCAATGTATTTTCATACAGTTCTTCTAATGTGTAAAATTTAAAGAAATATAGACCATATTTTTATTTTTGACTGCTACAAGAACAACAGCACAATGAGACAGAAAAGGATTAGGGCCACTCAAAAAAAAGTAGTTTGAAGTTCTGACTGAGAAAATGTTCACAATTCTGACTTTTTAAGTGGCCCTAATCCTCTGTACAATTACAGTTAGCTTACCCAAGTTCCTTCCCCTGTCTCATTACACACACCTTCAGTTATGATGAGTGTGAATTACAGACTGACAGGGCAGAGAAAGGTGAGCTCACCTGGAGTTAGTGGGAGTGAAGGGGTCGTAGAATTCTTTGGCTATTCTGTGTCCGTACCAACACGTTCCTACCAGAGTAAGAAGACCTGAAGAAAAGTACAAATAGAATTGATTTTGTTACATTATATTATATATTTTAGTGTATCATTTTTATTTAGCCTAAGTATACGAAATAATCACTGCCTGTTAAATCATGTTGGGATGTTTTTCCATTATTGTGGTCAGTGTAAAACAAACAGCAGCGTGTTGAGATGTGTTTTAAGATTAGATTAGATTAAGAAAGTAAATTCATTCTGTTTATAAATTGTGTCTAAAATCTGACCAGCAATAATGAAGATGATCCCTGCGGTTAGGGCCACTTTGTCCTTCTGCTCGGGTGCGTCTGCCATACAGGTGGTGCACCTCATGCCCACAGCCGCCACCAGGATGGAAATTAAGCAGAGCACGATGGAGCTGAGCATCAGCCCTCGAGTGCCCAGCACGATCCCTGCAGACAAACACATGACACACTTAATATGAGATGTTGAACTCAATATTCTTTTGCTTTGACTTTTTATCTTTTAAAAAGTTCTTTAATTCTTGTAGATTTGTGTTCAAATGCCACCGGGGTATAAGATAGTCATTGTCACGAGAATGTCTCTATTGAATCTCAGTGTACAATGTTGTTGACAACAAAACGAGCGGGAGTTCAGAAAGTATGAGTCATCTTCAGAGAGATGCATTCCAAAAAACTCCCTCCAGTATTTCTTAATCTGATGACAGATATCAGCTCTTCATGTTAAAAAATAACAGAAAACAAAACCGTTACACACAAAAGTCATTTTGAATACTGAACTCCATCCAGAACTTTAGTTCATTTTAAAAAGTTTCAAAGAAGAGGAACATCTTTTGTTCAGCCAGCTGCTGGTATTTCACTGACATGTCTCTGCACGCACGAGCTCTCAGGGAGAATAAATGGCATTTAGGACCACAAAGATTTAAACCTTCTTACTTTAAAACAAACAGGCCCATCCATGATTATAACTTATTTTTTTTCAATGTAAAGGGATTTCACTACTTATCCAAAACATCACTATTAAAAATATGAGTTATATTAAGAAAAATACAACATTCTTTAAAACATGAGACACATTACCTGGCAACTGCAGAAGTGAATCATAAACTTTACACTGAACCTGCCCAGTGCTCTGTGATACACAGCTCTTCCACAGGCCTTCATACAGAGCCTGAGCTGTGATGATGTTGTCTCCTGCATACGAAGAAGCTTTCCACTCCACCATGACTGTGGATGCTATTGAGCCGATGAAGCCCAAGAAGGCCAGCGCAAAGCCAACAAGCTGAATACCTGCATTGGCCATCAGTTGACTTGAAAAGACAAATGTATGAGAAACTAGAAGAAAGAAAAAAAAAAAGTTAAGATTTAGAAGTCTCCAATTGTTCCTTGATGTAGTCCCTGCTGGTTTTGCTTTGTGGTGCTCAAACAGTGCTGCTGTCTACCTGTGCATCCCCTGGGAACACCCTGGAGGGCAGGGAGGATCCAAGAATGTCAGGAGTCAGGAATCTAATGTGAGGAGCAGCAGGACGACTACTAGTGGCAGCTACAAAACATGCAGCCTGCAGCATTAAAGATCATTCAGAAAAAAATCCTCAGCTGCGAGCACAGTTTATATTTAAATCTGTTCATGTATAGAAAGTTAGTTTATCTCTATCTATAAGATAATAAATGAGACATTTTAAATAGAAACACTGCCTTATTCAAACTCTGCCTAATACTGATTTATGAACCATTTTAACTAATAAAGCCTCCACTTCTATTCTTTAACACTTCATGTGTGTCATTATTATGTGACTCTCTTAACTCTATAGCTTTTCAGCTAAGTCTTCCTTGTCAATGTTTATCGGTTTCTAAAGTCCTCTGTGTTATAAACAGAATGATCAGTTGTGTCATATGTTGTATTTCTTATTTCTGATAGAGATTTGAATAAAATAAAAGAGACTGTGCAGCTTTACATGTAGCCTATATGCTGTATAATCAATTTTTTCTTGATTCTATTCGTTGTCTTTGGTAACTAAAGACTATCTGACTGACGTCTGCTTAAATTAATATAAAGAAAAAGATTAGAAGTTGTTTTTCCAACATATTGTTCATATTAAAGTCAGTCACACTCTGCTCAGTTGGCTGATTCACTGTATTTCAGGACTGGTCACTTAAGCGTGAATAAACACAGGGCAGGAAGTTGGTCAAAGGTTTTTTTGTGTTGCCTAATTCAGACTTGTTGTTGTTTGCACTCTGTGTGAGCGGGATTGTAGATCCACAAGCAAAGTTGTTTCAATGCAGTAGGATCTCTGTAACACTGAGGTATGTGGGATTTCATTTCATTTCATAGAAAAATACACTTTGAATGCTACTTATTCTTCTCCCTGTGGATAAATGGAAATAGAAATTCAAGCACAAGAGTAATACATTCGTTTCTATGATTTTCTTTGAACTCATCCAGTCTTTATTTGTCTTTTTGAAGAGTAAGCTATGGGTAAAAAGCTGCGTCTGGTTCTGCTTCTGCTGCTTCTCTGTCAAAAAGGAAACGCAGAGCTACATACCTTTTGTCCAGTCAGATGCCAGTGTTTCACTCCGGTCCAAGTTCTGTGTGCTGAAACATGGCTTTCACATCTACCGAAGAACATGTCCAGGCAGATCACAGAGTTCATTCTCATGACATCCAGTGTGGCCCACCTGTTCCCCAACACTTTGGAGGACAGCCCCCAGCTCACCAAACTTGTCTTCCTGAATAATGTCCTGACAAGTATTCACTCACAGGCTTTCACACATCTGACCAACCTGCAGGAGCTGGAGATCAGCGGGAACCCTCTGCTGAATCATTTTCATCTGGGGACTTTTTCAAAACAGGGAAATTTGACTAAACTGCTGCTAAACTACAACCAGGTAAATGAGTTGCTCCCTGGCATGTTTGACCCTCTTAAGAACCTGGAAACTCTGCAGATGAAGGGCAACGTCATATCAGATCTGCCCGAATTTATTTTCCTGAAGCTCAACAATTTGCTTGTCCTGGATCTGTCACAAAATAAGCTAACAGAAGTGAAAAGACAAACATTTGCTGGTCTTGGAAAGCTGGAGACCCTGAAAATGAACAACAACCTCATCAGCAATCTGACATCCAACACGTTTAACAATATTTCTCAGCTGGCAGAGCTTCACTTGGAGGGGAATAAGATATCAGAGCTTGCTGACAGCATCTTCTGCATGTTAACCAATCTGAAGGTGTTGAACCTTCGTGGAAACATTCTTACAAGCTTCAGCGACAAAGTTTTTGGATTCCAGTTATCAAATTTGAAGGAGCTGAACCTAAAAGGCAACAGACTGACTCAGCTGTACTCTTTAAGTCGTTTCACAACTCTTACGGACCTTACATTGTCCTCAAACCAACTCTCATACCTTCCGCAAACCATTTTTAAGAATGTCACGACCCTGGAGAATATCGACTTGTCTGAAAACCAGCTCAACTCGCTGCCCGGAACAATCTTTCGTGATCTTTTTTCAATCAAGACTATTCACCTGAACAAGAACAATCTGAGCAAAGTGGAGGCCAACCTGTTTGAGGACCAGCTGCTCATGCAGAAGATCTACCTGTCCGACAACCAGCTGGAAACTATCCCACTGGGCCTCTTAGACCCTTTAATCATGCAGCACACAGTGAGATTCCACGGAAACCCCTGGAAATGTGACTGCCACTTGTTCTATCTGCATGACTGGGTGCTGAAGAATAGCCTGGACATAGAGATGCTGGACAGGGTCCTCTGCCATGGACCCAGATTTTTCAGAGGCCGGACAGTCGCCTCCATGGACAGGGACCAGCTGGTTTGTCAGGTATCTGAAGATGAGATGCCTGACATGAGAAACTGTATCCTACAAGCTTCCAGAAACAGTGTGACAATCAAGTGTAGAGTGGATGTATCCTCTCCGATAACAGTGAAGGTACTGTTTGAGGAGGAGGGTGGCAGTGTTAAGGAGCATATTTTGACAAATAAATCTGGACCCTCTAATTGTAGGAACGTAGCAATAACGGAGAGCCCCAATGAGTAGTTTTTGTGTTAACCACATGCAAATAAGTACTCGTGCATTTGGTTATTCAAAAAGTCACATAATATCTTCTGTCCAAGTCGATACTGTAAACAAACCTGTAACTCAGCAGCTGATAACTGGCTTACATGCTGAATGATAAGAAGGGTGTATGAACCCATTTCCTGTAAAGTTTAAAGTTCAACCCAATACTTTTGAAGATCCTCTCTGCTTAGAATGGACTTATACTTAAATGATGCCTACAAACTCACAGCCTCTTTTACTATTCACAAATTTATGGAATAGGGAAAATCCAGGGTGACATTAGACTATATTTTAACATATCTTACAAGACATTACCGCTAACATCTAACTTTAACAATTCCTAACTAACATGTCTGATGGCTAGCTAACTTTACTGTAAGCCAGTTAATGTTACATTTAGGTAGCTCATGGTATGTATTTTCATGTATCCATTCATGTTGGTAATTTTCTATTTTTTTGGTTAGTGCACACACCCCATGTAAGGAGGCTATGTTCTTCCAAACGGGCAGCCTGGGTTCAAATCCGACCTGTGGCTCCTTTCCCGCATGTCATGCCCCACTCTCTCTCTCTCCCCAATTTCAACTTTCCCCAAATAAACTTTAAAAAAATGTTTATTTTGCCCATAATTGTAAAAACATATATACAAAAGAGTAGTTAAATAAAAAAAAACATTAAGTGAAATGTAAATGAAATGAATGTGTGAAAATGCCTAAAACTTTAGTTTGCACATGACATCAACATTGTAGCTGTCTGCTGCTTATTACACTTAAAGATGAACACACCTTTATCTTTTCGATGAAGTTTAGTTTGCCTGCTCAGTGCTAAAGTCTATACATGGAAATGAATTGTTTTCTGCTTCTATCCTTTCACATTACTGTATAAAATAATTGTATGGTTTTTAGACTGTTGGGTTTTTTTGTGTTATTCTTTTGTGATATCAGGGTTTTGATAGGCCTAAGAGTGTATGTGCGTATTCATGAGATGCACTACGTTATATGCCTTAACCACTTCCAGGGACATTGGGGGTCCCCAGTCTCTGGGACCCTTATGTTTGGGGTCATGAGATGAAGTGTTTGGTAGCCTTCAGTTTAGAAGGTACATATCAACTTTCCTACATAAAGGAAGCATAAATAGCAACTTCTGCATAGCACAACAGAATCTGAACAACAGTTATACATTACTTCACTCTTGACACAGTATCACTGTAGCAGTCTGAAAGGCCCTGTGCTCCACATCAAGCCGTACTGTTTCATAATTCTAGTTTTTAAATTACAATTAATCACATTTTTAATTGCATGTTTGAATTTCCATTCGTCTGCTTTTAAAAATAAAAATGGCAAGGCATCATTTTATTTATTATTTTCTTAAGATGAGAGTACTTTCTGTTTCAGACTTTATACGATCATGATAACGACTTAATGCTTATAGCCCTGATAAATATAAATGAAGTTCGAATTAAAGCAAATAATAAGAGTTGGTGGCCGGCTGGTGACAGGAGTCAGATCATTTTCTGCCTGTTGGGCTGTGATTAGTGACTGGACAGTTCTCTCAAATATATCCGATGCTGATATCCGTTCTGTGCTGAGCCCAGATTAACACTCACCAGCCAGACCTTTCACGCCATGTCATATAACCTGCTGCAATTTTGCTCTTTTAATAAACGTTTAGCTTAATTTGCTACCAGTGTTTAATTAAGAACACAAGCTTGTATTTGTATTAAAGGTAAGTTACAAAAGGCGTTTTAGTTTTGTTGATAATTATTGTTCTATAAAGAAAGAACATCAGTATCAGCAAAAATAGGTATCTGCATGTCAGACTTTTAAAAACCTGGGAAAGACAATGCAATCGGTCCATATATACAAATAATCTCAACCTGAGAAAAACAAAACTGACAAATAAAACTTAATAAAAATAAATCTAATTTTACGCTATATTTTGCCATACTACTTAACAGCGATAGAGGCTTGAGCTACTTTGACAAGATGAAAGTGGCCAAAACCTGCTTGCATCACTTAAGGTCATTTAGAGCATCTGATGAATGGAGTGGAGCATTGTGGACCTGATGAATGAAAGTTAAGTTAAGCCAATTATTGTTACACGTGTCAAATGTTTATACCCAAATCTTACAAAGCACAGTAACTCTCCATGCCACCGTGTTAGCACCAAACTTTACATTATTTCAGTTTTACTTTTAAGGTCCCTGAACAACATCTCAGCCTCTGCGGCCATCACTTTTTTTACCATTCTGCCACCAGTAAATAGTTTCTTGTACTTTGTTGTGTGCCACTTACAGTGAAGCCTTTGTTACAGGAATAGCCTTCTTTGTCAGTTGGGTGTTTTTTTATGAGTTTCTTTCAGCTTGTTCGCCTTTT